ATATGAACTTTGTCAGTAAACCAGTATAAAATAAAAAATTTTGTTTTTTAAAAACAACAACAACAAACCAGTTACAGGTAACTCTGGTGGCCTCGTGTGTAAGGAGTTGTACTGCCAACCCAAAGGCTTTGAATCCACCAGCTGCTCTACAAGCTAAAGATGGGCAGTCTCCTCCTTTGTGATTGATAGCTTCTGAAAACTTGCTAGAGGTTCTGTTATGAGTCGATTCTGATTGAACACATAACAACAACAACAGTACAAACATACTAGCTGCTGTCAGGTTAGTTCTGATCACAGCAGCCCCAGGCTTGTCAGAATAGAACTGTGTCATAGTTTTCAGTGACTGAGTCTTTTTAAGAAAGAGAGTACTTAGACTTTCTTCCAGGATGCCACTGTGTATGTAGGCTTGCACTTCCAACCTTTGATTGGCAGTCAAATGTGTTATCCGCCCACATCACCCAGGTTACCTTAAGTTCTTTTTGAGAGTTACTCATTTTTGAGTTCACCAATTTTAGAGGCACTCTCTCCCTCTTTGAACCGTTCTGTTAAAGTGTTTGTTCTTAGATGGAGTTGAATGTCTTCCATGCAAAGAAGGGAACTCTCATGGCCTAGTCTGTAGGGAGTTGAACTGTTAACCCACAGACCTCACCGCTCTTGATCTCCATCTGCAGCTCCATGGGTGAAAGATGGACAATGTCCTTTCTATGTGATTTACAGCTTTGGAAAACCTACTGGAGGGTCAGCTGTGAGTCATTTCCTGCTTAACAGCAATCAGTGAGTGAGCGAGTAAGTGAGTATAAGAGGATACTGCCCCCTAGATGGTTGAGCTGGTGGCGGGTCCATTTGTCCCTTGCAGTTGTATACTTGCTCAGCAATATCAGAACATTTTGCTTCTTCTGAGATTATTGTCTACTCATCCACATATCTTGGCCAGTCTTTTTGATGCTTCACTCTGAGTGTTTAATACAAGAAACCAAACCCACTGCCATCAAATTGCTTCTGACTCACAGTAACTTTACAGGGCTCTGATCTCTGTGTTAGCAGTCTGGCGCTTAACTGCGCCAACAGTAGAGCTCCCTTATTTGATAAAAGGGGATGGTAAAAAGTGGATTCTGTGAAAGAGAGTAGCTCTGATCTGGCTGGAAAATGAAACTTGCAAAGTGATCTTAGGGATGGTTTGAGAAAGAGGACTTTTTTTTTTTAAAGTAAATCCTAGAAGGTGTCCCTGGGTGCTTTGATGGGTCTTTTCCCGGTACCTCTCTGTCACCCTGTACATCACTGAGCTATGGAATTATGGTACACTAACATCCATAGGTTTGGGAGAAAGATGAGCAATCTCCATACAGTTAACTGCCTCTGAAAACCCGCTGGAGTGACAGCTACGGCCGACTCTACAGTATCCAACAACAACAACAACATCCATAGGCTATGTTTTAGTTGCCTGATTTCTGGTCATCTTAACTAAGCAGCCAACTCCACAAGGGCAAGGATGGTTAAGTAGTCTCAGTGTCTGTGCTTTATAGATGCCTAGATTATGTTTTAGGCTCTCTATCTAAAATGCCCTGGGTGATCTGTTTGCATGTTGACATGTCATTTACAAGACAAGGTATGTGATAACAGAAAGCCAGCATGACCTTGAAAATTGAAATCAACATGCTAAATGTGTTAGGCCAAGTTAGGAAATGGTCTAAGCTGCATGGTAGAAGTTAGTACTGATGTGAAGTCTTTCATAAAGCAAGTAGCCCTTTGAAGACAAACTAGAATCATTATTGCTTAATAAATCCATAATTTTATATTTGCCTAGTGATTTGCATATTTGCATATTCTTATTGGCCCTTGAGATGACCTCAGAAGATAGGAAGATTATGACGTACATACATTTTTTTATAGATCAGGAAGCTGAGGCTGGGTGAGGTAAGTGAACTGCTCTGGGTGTCAAGCTCTGGGTGGATTTAGAACCCAGGTTGTTGCCCCGTATTCTTTTAATTATGTGTGCAACCAGATTGTAAAGTGTAAAGTTGTGTAACAACCATGGTAACTTGTATATTGTGGATTTTGGAGGTGTGTTTACTCTTTGCAATAGCCTTTTGGATCAGTTAAAATGGGCATTACTCTTATTTTTTTTTTTTTTAATGAAAAGTGCTTGGATGATAGAGTTAAATGCTGCTGGTTTAAAGGTTCGTGTCTCAGGTTGAAAAGAAACTTTATTTTCTCAGGAAATTTGGTCAAGATACACAGCACAGTTTACAATTGTTCAATAATTTCTACACATGCAATTCAGTGACATGAATTACATTCTTCATGTTGTGCAACCATTCCCATTCAACTTTTCTGAAATAGTCACCCATCACATTGCCCCCTGAGCTTCCTATTTTACTTTGGAAAAATAAAAGGGCCACCCTTCTGTTGCAGCAACACTACATGTCTGGACCTTCTCAGCACCTCAGTCCTCCCTTGAGGGGCTGCTGTAATGGGTGTGGTTGCGACGAGGAGCTTGCTATTTCTTGAAGAACCTCATTCTATCTTAGGTAGGAAAGGATGCAGGGGAAGCAAGCACACTATGGCAAGGAGTAGGGCAAACGTGGGGCTGTTCAGAAATGTGTATACAGGAAGAGGTTACTGTCTAGGGTGGTTGTGGAGATGGGGTGGAAGCCCAGGCTCCGATGGGATGGCCAAGGGGTAGATCTGGGTTCAGATGTCTTGTATGTATGTTGAGTGGGACCAGTCATGTAGGTTCTCCACCAGGCCTGTGTTTTTCTCCTCCATGGCATCTCCATCTCCTGCCCAGTTCTATGTACTGAGCCCTGTGTATGTCTTATTCTTGCTTTCCACAGGCCTCTGAGAGATGAAACCCAGCGAGAAGTTTCTGACACTCAAAACACCTTTGACCTTGAATGTCAGAGTTTGAATCATTTTTGAAATATGGGGGGTTTTTTTTCATCTTTATCTAGAAAACTTGGCCATATTGGACCAACTTACCAATATGTTGATCAGAGTTAAGTGCTCAACCTGCGAGTCGACATCTAATACATAGCTGGGAGCTCAGTGGTTCAGACTCGTCTAGATATGTCACAGAAGGCAGGCCTGCCTGGTGATCCGCTTCCTAAAGATTACAGCCTAAGGAGCAAACCTAGTCCACATGCATAAGGGGTTGGGATCAACTTGACAGTAGCCAAAAACAACTTGTCTATTTTGTGAGAGCCATTCGTTCATTAACTCCTTACACATTGCAGTACCAACCAGCTTGAAGCTGGGCACAGGCCTGGTCTTCACTGTATTAGGTGGCCAGTTCAAATACAGCGTAATTTGCTTTTAAGAGTCTCAGACAATTAGAGAGACTATGTGTCCTAAGAGCTAAACTTTGTGTGTGTGGTAACCTGGATATGTGGCACTGAGACAGTGGGGGGTCCCAGTAATTTGTTCAGCTCATAGAAAAAGAAATACCTAGTGTCATTAGCACTTCCAAATCTATCTAACGGAATGAACCACACCAGACAACTCCCTAAATGAGTGTGTCAGAAAAGGCACAGTTGTTGGGGAGAGTTTTCTATTAGTCCAGTAATTGCCAGCGCTTGTCCACTTCCTGTATAATGTGGGGACATGATGGAAAGTTAGACATCTCCAAAGTTTGACAATGCTCCATGTTGACAGCTGGGGCTTTTATGCTGCTGCAATCTAGTGTGTGAGGAGTGAAGACACGCATGGTCAGCAGAATTGTGTAACAGACCGAGCAGACTTCCCATGGACAGGAAGCGCACGAGGCTTCCTTTCACCTGCACACCAAGTGGCAGGCATTTCCTGGACATTGTTCATGGTGACGGCGGCAGCTCTATTTCTGTCCACCACCCCAGTGTCACTGGGGCTGGCCTAGCTCCCTGAAGAGCCTGGCTTTTGTGGATGTCTTGCCAGGCCAGAGTCTCAGCCTCTGTGGAGTCATTCACTCCCTCCAAGGAGATGCCAGACCAAAATCTGCCCCACCCTGTTAACAAAGGGGGCTTAGGATATTAGAGGCTCTGGTATGAAAAGAAATATGGCTGCCCCACCTCCTTTCACACAAGCACCCTTAAGTAGATTGCCATCATCTTTATTTTCTATTAGTGGTCTTGCTGTTGGGTGGCTCCATCCCAGGGGAGTGGCTTCTGGGGAATGAATGTACCGTGACAAGTTCTGGGTGTGGACACACTTGACTTGGAGCTGCCAAGCTTCCCCCCAAAACCCTCTGGGGTGCAATTTGATTCTTGATTTCTTGTGGATCAAGGTTGTGTGGTGGTCTGGGTGTGTGCCCTTGATGAGTGAGCTGTTTTCTCATTGTGAGCCCAGAGCCTTACAATCAGATAGATGCTAGTTAACCACCGTGTGGGAGAGCCTCTGGATACCATTTAGACTGCTTTCCTTCCAAAACAGAGCTTGGTTCTTTGCTGATTATAAAGAATAGGCTTTGCCTGTTGTGAGCAAAAGGTAGGTTTGTAACTCCACACAGGCAGGGATCATAAAGAATAAGCTGGATGTTGGTAGCTTCTCTTTTTAGAAGCAAGAGGCACTAATTGCAGTGTCCTGAATCTGTGTTTATTTTGTCCTTGCTCCACATGCCTGTTGACTTTAGATGAGTAGAGGGCAAGGGAATGGTCTACTCGGTTAATCATTTCCTTACTTAAATCTGCTACACGAGGCATTCATCAAAAAGTGAAGCACTCTGATTCACCACCACATCCTGGAGGGCCATTGTGGCCTCCACCCCACTTACCTGAGTAAAACTGGGTGTCGCTTCAGGGAGAGCTGTCCATGTTTCTGCTTTATCTCTGGAGACACCGTCCAGGGTTCATCTGCTGTGGACTAGTTTGATGCAGGTGCTTGGGAGGAAGAGACTCAATTTCAGGGAGAGCTGGTGAGACAGAAATAGTGATTCCTCACAGACTAAGTTCTCTCTTTTTTGCCTTTCAGTGATGGATTCTGCCAGCAAGATATTTCCAGCAGTTGAGTTTTGATAAACCCAGCGCACCATGTACAGTGTGGAAGATCTCCTGATCTCTCATGGATACAAACTGTCACGGAACATGCCGGCACCACGCAAGGACAACCATGAGCAACCTCAGCCTGAGAGAACGAGGACAAGAGCTGGTCATGGCATGTTGAACGGGTATGAGAACGATCCTGCAGCCTTTGCGCAGAGTAAGAAAGCCCTCAGAAAAGGATGTGTGAGCGACTCCGAGAGCCGCCGAGGCACCCCGCGAAGCCACGGGGAGCCCCCAAGTTCGGCTTTCAGAACTTCGGAGGTGGGGTAAGTCTCATAGTTTACTCATCATTTTGTTTTGGTTTGAGGCGTTGGCAGGGAATTATTTATATATGTAAACTCCTTTAGCACCGTGATACTGGCTGGGGGTCTGGGGAGAAAAGAAGAACTCGGGACAGAAATATTTTTCCACTGAAATATTTGTGATGTCCCAGTAACATGAGCACAGGGCTTGGTTCATACCAGACTGTTAGTAAATTGAAGGTGAATACCAATCACTTAAAAATGAGGAAGACCCTCAACAAGATGGATTGAGGCAATGGCCACAAATATGGCCTTAGACATACTAATAGTCACAAACACAATGCAACACCAGGTCATATTTCGTTCTGTTATAGGGCAGGTTGTCTTGAATTGGAACTGACTCAGTGGCAGTAAAGAAGAATAGCAAAGGAATTCTATTATGCTATACATTGTATTCTAATGTTCTGCTTTTTTATTTCCTTATAATCTCTTCATATGGCCTTAATTAAGTGAAAGCTTGTTCATGTCTTACATTAACGTGGCTTTTTTTATAAAGATATAGCAATATTATGTAAGTTTAACAAAGTAGAAAGGGAATATGATTCCTGTCTATCTATAAAGAAGAAACTCTTTTTTTTTCTGCTTTCATTGGCTTCCAACCATCTTTCTCTTACATATGCATTCATCCTGATGTGGTTATCCCATCTGAATATGGCTGCATCTGTGGATGTTTGCTTTCAGTAATAAACTAAAAAGAGGGTAGTTGGCCACATGAACAGAGTGGCTAAAAGAAAAGAAATAAAATGCCAATGTAGGCAGCATGCCACAGAGCCGGCCTGGGAGAGGAACCTTTAAACTCCCATCAGAGCCATTTTAACCTGGAGGAAACCTTTGTCATCGCTTCATAAAATTGTGTTTGTACTTTAATGCTGTGTGAAGACTGGGGACAAACTGGCTGTGGGCATAGAGAGCAGATGATGTAACTGTGGAACAGGCAAGAAGTGGATAAAGGAAGCCAGCTGAAGCAGAGTTCCCTCCTTAAGAGGAGCTAACAGACGGAATGAATGAAGCCTAAATGGAATGACCTGACCCGCTGTGGTGGTTGTGGTTATTCGCTGCCATCAGGTCATCTCCACTCATGGAGACCTTGTGTATAACAGAACACGATGTTGCCAAGCCCCGTCTTCAGATGGCCAGTGTGTTTGACCCTTTGTTGAAGCTGTTTGGCAATCCGTCTCATTGAGGGTTTGCCTTGCTTTCCCAGATCCTCTACCTTGTCAGTCCTTATGTCCTTCTCTGTTGCTTGATCTTTCCTAATGACAGATGCAAAAGAAATGAGCTGAAGTTTCACCATCTTCTAAGGAGCACTCTGGTTATATTTCTTCTGATACAGACTTCTTCCTTTTTCTGGCAGTCCATAGTATATTCACTACTATCATTATTTTCACTGTTGTGTACCATTGAGTTGTCTGACATACTTTGGGCATGTTGCAAGGAGGGACCGGTCCTTGGAGAGGGACGTCATGCTTGAAAGGGTGGAGGGACAGAGAAAGAGAAGGAGACACTCAAATGAGATGGATGGTCTCGGTGACTGGTGTAATGAGGGTAAATGTGTCAGGGACAATACAGTTGGCACAGGATAGAGCAGGGTTCAGAGCTGTTGAACATAGGATTGCCGTGAGTCCCAAGTTACTCGATGGCACATAACAATAACAACCACGATCGAGTCAGAACCAACCCAAAACGGACCCTCCAGTGGGTTTTCAGAAGCTGTAAACCACACAGGAGGAGATTGCACCTCTTTCTCCTGTAGTGTCACTAGTGGATTTGAACCGCTGGCCTTTGGGATTGCAGTGCAGCTTCTTGTCAAGTCATTTCTGACTCAGAACCACAGTGTGCCCCACACAACAAAAGACTGCCAAATCCCGCACTGTCCTTAAAATCTCTGCTGTGCTTAAGTCTATTAAAAAAATCAAGCACATTGTCTTTGATTTGGAATTGACTCATAGCTGGCCCTCCTCAGGATTTCTGAGGCTGTAAATGACAGAGGAGAGATGTTATTTTTCTCCTGTGGAGCTACTGGTGGATTAGCAGCAGCACAGCTCCCCTGTGGACTACCCCTCCAGAGCTCTAAGCCTGTCAGTGGTCACCTTTCCAGAGCAGATCTTTGTTATTAGTTGACAGTTTCAGGCGGAAAAATAATGGGAGCGATTTTTGTTCTTATAGTTCAAAGCACTTAACACCTTGGCTATTTAGTCAAAGCAAAGGAATCAGCTAGCTCTTTATACTCTGTTGTTCAAGCATTTTTATGCTGATGAGTCAGACCTACTTCTCCATGAGGGGGCAAGCACTGCCAGTGATTGTGACAGATACAGGAGGAAAACACAAATGGAAAAGGACTTGTACCTCTTTTATTTAACTTTGTCCTTCATAATGCATGTCTCTGTCCGTACTGCCCTGGGCACATCTCATATATGCTAATGCATCTCATTTATTCTTTCCTACCATGGTAACAACTTGGGAAAAGCAAGAAGCTCAATTTCTAATGAGACTAAGATAGGAAGACTGGTGTCCCTGTGAATATGCTCTATGAACTTGAGGGGACAGAGACGGGTCTCAGAGAGGGAGATTATCGAATCCTCTTGAGAATTCCGTGTTGGAGGTATGCTTTCCAACTCCTTCCACTGTGTGCTCAGAGTTTCCTTGTGGTAACAGGAAACAGGTAACAGTGGCCCGGCTTCTGAGTGGACAGACCTGTGAGGGGAATTTTTTCCTATTGTCAATGCAAGAGTCAGATACATGGATTTGGGCAGCACTGGGATATCTTTTGTATAATGACAGCATTCGATGAAGTTGACTGATTAACTTGAGAGATGGATGATGTCATTTGGCTTGTAGGTTGCGTTGTCAAGAAGGGGTGGGGGGAAAGCCTTTGTGTTTGCAGAAACCCACCCCAGCCTTAGACTAGCTTATGACTTCCTGGGTTGAGATGAAAAAATGTTTTCTTTCTTTAGTGGATGGTAGAGAACTTGTCCTTGAGCAAACAGGAGGCAAAAGGAAAGGTGGGTGTGGAGCAAATTTACTTTTCCATATGTGTTCTGGGAGATAATAAGTTAATACTTAAAGATGGAGTCGGGTTTGGGAGAGAAAATGCAAAGAATGATCTATGACACTGGCTTACATGAGTTTTGTATCTAAGTAAAGAGTATTCGGATACATATAAGGCACTGGACAAATGAACCTGTAATCTTACCACCTGGCCCACACCGCAACTTCTGCTGGTATTATCTCAGACTCGAGCATGTGGGGTCTGAATGGCTTTATGCAACTCCAAGCTTTCAGAGTGACTAGGGTGTCATGACGTTTCCTCTCACTGCACTTTTTGGCTGGATTGCTATTGGCCCTACAGTGTAGCCCTAGACAACGGGGAGGTCACTTCTCGGAGCTCCAGTGATTCCCAGGGGAAGAGGGAGGTCCGAGTGGTCTGAAAGTTCTCAAGAGCTGAATGACCATAGGCTGTTTGGGTTCATTCTGATAGGATGGCAGGATCGTCAATACAATATAGACAAAGGACTTGAATGCTCCTGGCTCTTCCAAGGTCACCCAGTGAGGTGGTGGAGGAGGTCCAGCTCTCTGACCCATGAGCCCAGGCCTCCAGGCAGGGTGGGGAACTGCCGTGCTAAAGCAGTGTCAGCCTGGCTGAATTCTTGCCATGGCAGGCTAGTCCCATTTCCAAGGGATGCACAAATCTGTGAGAGGTCTTTTGTGGTTGTCTTTTGCAGGGTGACCTTACTTCCTTGTCCTCCTTCTCCTCTATGGCACCACAGATACACAGCAGCTCAGAGGACAGAGCCGTGTAGAATCCATCCATCCAATGACTCTTTAGACAAATGCACACAACCCTTTGGGTACATGGTTAAAAATAATGAAATCTCTGTAGATGTTCACTGAAATTAATAAAAAAAAAGAAAAAAATTTTTGAAAAGCAAAAAAACCCCAAACAAAACAAAAAATAATAATGAAAGAAAAACGTCATAATGTTCACAATCAGGGGTTTAGCTAGAATATGAAGATTCTCTGGTGAGAATGATCAGAATTTGTTTCTTTCCTTCTCTGTTAACAAGAGTTCCTGTTAGATCCATGATGGTGTAGTGGTTAAGCTCTTGGCTACTAACTAAAAGGTTGGTGGTTCTAAATCACCAGCTTTTTTTTTTTTTTAAGAAATCATTCCCATTCTTTTTTTTTTTAATTATTATTAATTTCAATGAACATCTACAGAGATTTTGGAATTCCGTTCATTCATTGTTGCACTTTTCTCCCCCCCTTCACCCCCAGTTCGCTTCTCTCCTTGAAAAGCAAAAGACAAACTCCTTCATTGGTACACAATCCCCCCCACACACACACACATCCTCACTCCCACCCCAAGTATACTTCACTCTGCAGCCCTCATTCCAGACTCTTATGATAATCATAATGCCAGCAGCTTTGTAGGAGAAAAGACTTAGGGGTATGCTTCTTTGAATGGTTACTGCCTATGAATGGATAACAAACTATGGTACATTCACACAGTGGAGCACTGTGCAACAAACACTAAAACATGGTAAAAAAATAACGAAGTCATGTATAATATGGATGCATCTAGAGGACATTGTGATAACTCAGTCAGTCAAAAAGGGACAAATATTGCATAAGCTCATTGGCATCAGTCATCTTGGATGGTTACCAAGAGTGAAGTAAAACAAAGTAACCAGATCCTAGGTGTGTATTAAGACAGGTGAAGGGAAAGGCAATATCTAGGAAAGGAATGAAAAATCACTAAGACAGGGAAGAAATAGAAAAGGAAAGAAGGATTCATCAAAATCCGAATTAGAGGGAGGACATAGGAAAAGTTCAGTTACATTGTGGGTGTTAAAAATTAATTTTCTCGAATAAAATGTGTATGAATGGTTGAATGAAAATTCAACTAGCTTTATAAACTTTCACTCAAATCACAGTAAGTGAGGTCTATAGTACAACCTCCCTGC